TCTCCAATGGAAAGAAACACATTGTCGATGCCTCTCTGTTACAGCTTGCATTTGGCTTATTGATTAGTGCGCTGTGTTGTACTGGGTATATTAGACAATGGTAGCCAACTGTCCCAGACGATGAAAGTGTTTTGTTAGTGTCGCAGATTTACAAAAGCTTAAGCTAGTTTTCATTCCTTCTGGCTGGGCTGAAAGCACTTACTATTGTTGTCCAATATGCTGCAAATGAACATGGTTCAAAAATCACAAAGAGAGTGATATGGAATTACAGAACTGAAAATAGGATACTGATTGGGTACAAATTCATCAAGCCTCTTTATTTTGCAACAAGCTTTTTATTGGAGTGCCGACACAGCTTGCTTTGGAAAAAGCAAAAGCTACTGTGAGCAAATGATATAGTAGGAAAGTTGACCTCCAGTTAATTTCAGTTGTGCCCAGCTAGCTAACTGTACATCTCGTTCCTTCCAACATGTATTTTTTAGAAAGTTTCAGTTAGTGAATCATTAGTTCTTTGTGCAGAACACATAATCTGCTATGGACTGAATATGTATATCATCCCCCAAATTAATATGTTGAAATTCTAATTCCGAAAGCGATGATGTTAGAAGGTGGAGCCTTTGGAAGCTGATTAGGTCCTGAGGGTGGTGCCCTCTGTAAGAAAAAAGGGTTGGTGGGGCATGGTGGCTCACCCCTGTATTTCCAGCACTTTGGGAGGCTGAGGCAGGAGGTTCAGGAGTTCGAGAACAGCTTGCCCAATGTGGCAGTGGCAGGTGCCTGTAATGCCAGCTATTTGGGAGGCTGAGGTATGAGAATCCTTTGAACCTGGGAGGCGGAGGTTGCAGTGAGCCGAGATCGAACAACTGTACTCCAGCCTGGGTGACAAAAGTGAAACTTAATCTCAAAAAAAAAAAAAAAAAAAGACTTGAGGGAACTCAGTTGTCCCTTCCATGTGTGAAGACAGAGTGAAAAGGCAGTCATCTAAGAAACAGAAGGCAGGTCCTCACCAGACACAGAATTTGCTGGCACCTTAATCATGGATCTCTCAGCCTCCAGAACTGTAAAGAAGAAATTTCTGTTGTTTAGAAGCCACCCAGGCTATGACATTCTGCTATGGAAGTCTGAAAAAAGTAAGACAAATCCATTGCTCAGTTTTTTCAGCAACTTAACATAACTCATCTTCTGTTAAAAATGGTGAGGCCAGAATCTGAACCCTGGAAATACGGCTCCTAAAGTTGTTCTCTAATTCACTATGTGGAACTGTCTCTGATTGGGTAAATGTTTCAACTACAATAATTTCAGAATTAGTTTTATAAGGCTCGGTCTTTGGCATGTATTTCTTCTGATGAAGATTCATCAATTCCCTTTTTCTTTTCTAAAACACACATGTCAAATATCATTCTCCCTACAACTGACTATTTCATTCTTTTCTCCACAATCTAGAAAGTGCACAGGAATGCATGGTCTTTCAAAGGATGACTTTAAACCTGGTCTGACATTGAGTTTAACAGGGTGTAACAAAAACATGAGTGCATTGGCCTAACCAAATAGTGGTTTACTGTTCTCAAATGTCCAGAAGTAACGAAGAAGCTGGTGAAGGTGTGGTGTAGCTGCTAAGGAATTTGCCAAGTACCCTGGCTCCTTCTGCTTTTACAGTCATGGTCTTTAGCACGTGACTTTGATTCTCACGTTGGCTTTCTCATCGGAAGGTATCACATCTATGTGCAAAACAGGAGGAAGAAGAAGGGCAAAGGACAAGACATAAAAACCAAGCAGGCATTTACCAGATGAAACTGTCCCCTTTAATTAGTTTTCCAGAAAGACACACTCTCTGATAACATTTAAATCTCACTGGCCACAACCGTGTCACATGGTCACTCGTACCTACAAAAGGATCCATGAAGCTAGCATTTTAATATGGACAAAATTCTTCCCCTTCAAAAATCAGGGCCCTGGTCATAAGAAAGAGAGGGAGAAAGGCTACCGGGCAGGTAACAGGCAGGTTATGCCATGTCTGTAATATCGTAAGCAAACACTTGCACTTTTAGTAGTAACTGATGATTCTGCAATATACTCTGTTACTTATCACAGGATGCCAGTGAGACACTGACTCTGTGGTTGAGGATGTCTGATCTACAGGATAAAGGCCAAATCCCTAAACAAAATATGTAAGAAAGGATCTTACCAGTTTAATACTAGCCTACTTTTTAACATTCATGTTCCACCATCTCTAGCCCTTTGCTTGAGCCACATGTAACTTGTCTTCATTTTTTAATTAACTGACTTTTGTGCCACTGTTTTTTGCATATGTCCTTTTCTTTGTTCAGAAGACCCTCCTCACCATCTCCAACTGGTAAATAATACTTATTTTGCAAGACTCAGTGTGAATACCATCACATTTCTGGAAACATCCTTACCTCTCTCAGTCATGTCTATTTCGGTGTTTTGTATACAACTCCATTAGCTCACTTGTAATTGTTTTTTTCGTATTTGTCACTTCTGACAAACACTATGGCCTCTTAGAGAACAAGGACTATAATTTATCCAACTTTTTCTACCCGGTGCTGCTGCAGTTCTTGGAGTATGCTCAAGACACCTGCTTAGGGGAAAATAAACTGAGTGTTACCTCCAGTGTATAGGTGACCTACAAGGAGCTGAAGTGACCTGTTTTCATCATAGCCAGTAAAAAATGCACTGATCTGAACCCCATAAATCTAGATCTCAGTGGATTAATGGCTGTCAGCGGAAATATGGAAGAGACAGATGGTGGGTTTTTTTTTGGTCTTAGTTGATGATAATAACATAATTCAATAATTTAAAAGTGTTTTCTTTAAACTTTCCATTCCCCATTCTTTAAGAGTTATTCAATTTTTTCTTTCTTTGTGCACAGTTTGAGACACAGTTTGTGTCCTCAAAAAGGCTACCAGGCTTTAGATTATATATATGAGTAAGATCATATCATGTTTGTCTTTCTGTGTGAGGCTTGTTTCACTTAACACAATGTCTTCCAGACTCATCCATGTTGCTGAAAATGACAGAATTTCATTCTGTTTTATGGTTGAATAGTATTCCACACGTACACACATATATACACATGTATATACACACATACATATATACATATATATATACACATCCCTATATATACACACACACATGCATACAATAATATATAGAATAATGTATATGTGTGCATGTGTGTATATATATGTAAGATATATGTGTGAGATAGATAGATTCTTCTGTAGTTGAACATTTGGGTAGATTCCATATCTTGTCCGTTGTGAATAACATAGAAATTGCAGGAAACATGACCAAGGTGGCTTCAATAAACACGGGAGTGCAGATATCTCTTCAAAATACTGATTTTATTTACTTTGGATACATACCCAATAGTGGTATTGCTGAATCGTATGCTAGTTCTATTTTTAATTTTTTGAGGGACCTCCATATTGAGTAGAATAGTGGTTACCAGGGGCTGGGCACGGTGGTGGGAAGGGAGAAGCAGGAGAGGACGATCAGTGTGTACAAAGTTACAGTTCGGAAGAATAGGTCCTGGTGCTCTGTTACACAGTAGGGTGACTAGAGCAAATAATGTAATGCACATTTCAAGATAGCTAAAAAAGAATATTTTGAATATTATTCCAAAGAAATGATAACTATTTAAAATGATGAATATGGTAATTACCCTGATTTGGTCGTTATACAATGTATGCATGCACTGAAACATCACGTTATATCCCATAAACATGTCTAATGATCGTATGTCAATTATAAATGAATTAATAAAAACATGACCGTCTAAGGAAAAAAAAGACATTTGAACTTAAAGTGATTTGAATAATATGGAAAGAAATTACTAGTTTATTAACTTTCAGGCTCTTCAGTGGCTTAGGTGTTTATACTTAGCAAATACTTAGTACTTGTCATTAGAGGAAGTTTAGGAGCAATAAAGAATTCGGTGAGAATACAAAAGGAAAAGTGAGCCATAGAAAAACCCACTAAATTGAACAAAGGGTTAAAGTAGACATGGTGAATACTTGATATGCTGCTACAGCCCCTCCCTTCCTTCCCTGAGTATATGGAAGACAGACATCACCAATCAATCAAAACACATTTTCCACCTGACCCCAGCCATGGCCTTAGAATTCATTTCAACACTATGATACTCCAGGTATCTTCTATCAACAAAGGAGGGAAGACATTCCTATCTTTCCCTCATCACTACGTTCTCCATAAAGACTGGTTCATGTCAATACAGTACCTGTAACAGGGCAGAGAGTGTTTTCCTAACTCCCTCTGGAAAATGAAGCAAACATTGTGACTCCAAGATTGAGCTTCCAGGTATTTAACTCTTCTGTCAAATCTCTCTCATGGACTGGGTTCAGCATCTTACAGTCATGGAGTTCTAAAGACACTGCTTCTGTTACTTGCCTTCTATTTCTGCTAGGGAATGAGAGGGACCATCCCACCCACAGACTTAACAATTAAGGAGGTAGAGAGCTAACATGTTCGGAATGGCAGGCAATATAGTGAATGCTTTATATTTACATCTTTTTGTTTTTTATAACAATCACATAGGGTCAGTATTATTGTTTCCATTTTATAGATAGGAGATAGTGTCAAAGAAATTAAGTCATTTGCCTGAGATCCCAGAGGTGGTGAGAGGTGAAGATAAGATTCAGTCTCAGATCTGTGATATTGAACTCTGGAGAGTTAGTTGTTTCTTTGGCGATCTTGATAAAATCTGCTTCTTGGGTTCTTTTCCACCACCACATAGTTACATTTTTTATACTAGCCTTGAGCTCTACCTTCATACTTTCTTGAGTCTTGCAGACCACAGAGGCAGATGGAAAATGGGTAAACGTAGATCAGATATGGGTTAGGAAATATCCATTTGAAACTTCATGCCAATCATGTGAAAATCTGGTCCCCCGGAGACCATCTTGATGGAAATGGAAAACACATTTGGGTTTAATTTTCTTCTGTCCCCTTTTCTGCAGGACATCGCCCATATCAGGTGATCACCGCTCGAGTTCATCCAGGAGAGAGCAATGCCAGTTGGGTGATGAAGGGTACCTTGGAGTTCCTGGTCAGCAGTGACCCTGTGGCGAGGCTCTTGAGGGAAAACTTCATTTTCAAGATCATACCCATGCTCAACCCAGACGGTGTCATCAACGGCAAGTATGTCAGGCACCTGGCCCAGCCAGACCTGCACTTATGCCACCATAGTAACACCGTGATTTCACCCAGTGGGCGTGGTTGGAGAGGCCTTGGTACTCCGTCAAAAATAAACTCTTGGTTTTCTGTTCTCTGGTACAAGTAACAGCATGCTTGCCATACACACTGATGTCAGTCTCATGGTTTCTTTGAATAGGAAGGTATAGAATTGAGGCCTACGCAGGACTGCTTGAGACCAGCAGTTCAAGACCAGTCTGGGCCACACGATGAGACCCCATCTCTACAACATAAATAAATTTTAAAAAATATAGGAATCATAGGCAGTTAATAGCAGAGGAAATAATCTAGTTTAACTTGAAAAAGGAGGAAACTGGTGTCCAGAGTAATCAAATGACTTGTCCAGATCACACGGTGGGTTAATGACAGTCAGGGCTCAAACTGTGATTTCTTCAGAGTAAGGCCAATGCTTGTATTTACTTACTCGTATTTACTACAGGGAAATCTTCATTCTCAATCAGCTACAATAGGATACAGCTATAATAATGGCATCTCTCTAGCTAAATAAAATGTTGGCTGAAAAACAGAAGGTTGGGGTCGTTCTTCTCTTTACCTAGCCGTTACAGGACTCTGGGGAATATATGACTCCTGTGCCTGGTGAGCTCTGCGGAAATGGGTCACATTCTCAGAGTTTGTGAGCTGAGGCCCAGATGTCAGATGAGGCACCTAAACTCACATGGCTGATCTGTGAGGGTGACAGGTCACATTCACAAAGACTTCTTTCTGACTTTGTGGGCAAAGGATAAAGCACCTTGCCATGGTAATAGATGATTCTTTTTACTACAGGAGTGAATATTATATCCTATGAGAAAAAGAGAATACAAGATAAGCTGAAAATATTGAGGAAAAAAAATTCAAAAGCTACAAATCGAAAATGTATTTTTAATAAAAATTAAGTATCAAGCAAAAAAGAAGTTTAGAAAACTATAGAATAAAGCAAGGTTAAAACTGTTAAATGAAAGAGATAAAATGAGAATTATACTCAAAGAAAACAAACCCATCAAAGGATGAAATGAAAATGACTTAAATAAGAATGATTTAAGAAAGATGAAATAACTTTTTAAGAAAAAAATTTAAATGCTAAACAGCTAATAGACTAGCTTCAAAAGATAAGCACCAAAGGTAGATAAGTTAAAAAGGTTAAAAATATGAAGATGATGACGTATAAAAAGATGAAAAGTATAATTCCAAATGATGAAATATGTCAAACTATGTTAAATGAAAGCAAATCAAAGCTACAGACTGTAAAAATAAAATTTCAATATGCGCGCACGTGCGTGCAAACACACACACACACACACACACACACACACACACAGAAAGGAAAGATAAGACACTCCTATGTTCCTCACAGGTCAGCTTGTCCCAGCTCAGCAGTTGCCAGACTTCATTTTATTTAATTTTTTTTAATGAAGATTATTTGAGGGCAGAGAGTAGGGTTTCTTCTCTTTCTCTGTGGTGACTGCTTGGCCTTTAAGCAAATGGGAAAACTGAGATGCCAAGTCCTTCACTAAGAAAGTCAATCAGACCTTGGAAAGCAATTAGCCTTCTGAGCTCTCAAGCTGTAAGGGCCCTAAAGCAATGTGCGCTCCTGGTCGAGCAGAACTCAGCTGGCTCTTGCTGTGTGCTCCTTTAACGGCAGAGAACAGCTCTGGGACGTCAGTGAATGGTTCCTCCCTGCTGGAGCAGCCAAGGGTTTTACTAGTAAGCTTTCTCAGCCTAAATGGGTGGAAAACAGTTACGCAAGGCATCTTGAGGGACATGATCCCATTTTGACATTTTCTCATCCAAATTGGCTCTTCTCTGAAATCTCTCCTTCCCTGGAATTGTCTGAGGTCCAGTAGAATATGGAAAGAGCACTGGATCTAGAGTCATAAGATTCATTGGGAATTCTGGCTTTTCTCCTGCCATACTCAGTTTTCTCTTCTGCTGGAAGAAGAACACTATATACTCCCTGTTGACCATTCTGGAAAAGGCCTCAGAGGCCCAAGGCAGTATTCAAGCCCAGGGATTAAGTATTGTAGTTTCTTCAATTTTAAATGCTTATACCTCCAAATCAGAGGTTTGATTCAGGTCTCTGGTTTAAAGGTTAATGTGATCTCAGTTCCCGAGTATCCTCCTGGCCTAGACACACATTATTTCCAGCTCACGGCTGGTTGCTTTGGGCTCCCAAATGGCAGGCCAGCTTTCACTTAGTGACACTGGCATTTATCATCATTACCATTATTTATTATGACTAAAATTACCTCTTCATTTAAATAGCATCTTTCATCATGGAGCTTAAGGCACTTTGTAGATCACTTGGATTACCCAAACAATTTTGGCTGAAAGGGACTTGGAAATCATAGCGTTATTCTACTGAAGGAAAAATCCACAGGTCGTAGCACATCATTATGAAAGGGCTTGAGACTGCCTGAATGTATAATGTCTCATCTTAAAAGAGCTTAAAAGTCTCAGTGCCTGAGCCCTCCTTAGAACATACCTAACACAGGGTTTGTCTAATTTCTGCTTGAACTCTTTCTGTGATTGACACTTCATTTTAGTGCATGCCCATTCTGTTGTGTATAGTTATGTGGATTTGTGTTTTACTGTGTTTTGATCTTTGCCCTGTGCGCTTCACCCATTTTAATCATTCCTCTCTTAGGATACCCCATGGATAAAATCTAATCCCCCTCATCCATGGCTGAGCTTCCCTATGTGAAGTCCTCTCCAGCCTTGATGCAGTTCACCTAAATCTTGTGCATATGGTATTTTTTCTGATGTTCTCATCTTCACTGATTTTCTCTGAATATATTTTTACCAGTAGGCTCCTTTTTGTGACACTGTGGTGTTTTGTCCTTTGTAATGTATTTTAACAGTTTTGGGGGAACAGGTGGTTTTTGGTTACATGGTTAAGTTCTTTAGCGGCGATTTCTGGGATTTTGGTGCACCTATCACCTGAGCAGTGTACATTGTATCCAATATGTAGTCTTTTATCCCTCATCTCCGAATCCGTCCCCCTCGAGTCCCCACAGTACATTATATCATTCTCATGTCTTTGCATCCTCATAGTTTATCTCCCACTTACAAATGAGAACATATGATATTTGGTTTTCCATTCCTGAGTTACTTCACTTAGAATAATAGTCTCCAACTCCATCCAAGTTGCTGCAAAGGCCATTATTTCGTTCCATTGTATTCCATGGTATATATATACTCCACGTTTTCTTTTTTTTTTTTAATTGTACTTTAGGTCCTGGGGTACATGTGTAAATCATGCAGGATTGTTGCATAGGTACACACGTGGCAATGTGGACTGCTGCCTCCATCCCCCCATCACCTACATCTGGCATTTCTCCCCATGTTATCCCTCCCCACCCCTCCAACTGTCCCTCCCTTGGCTCCCACAACAGATCCCAGTGTGCGATGCTCCCCTCCTTGTGTGTTCATTGTTCAACACCATCCTATGAGTGAGAACATGTACTACATTTTCTTTATCCTGTGGTTGGTTGATGGCACTTAGGTTTGTTCCATATCTCTGCAATTGTAAATTGTGCTGCTATAAACATGCAAGTTCGAGTGTCTTTTTCATATAATGACCTCCTTTCCTTTGGGTAGATACTCAGCAGGGGATTACTGGTTCGAATGGTAGTTCTACTTTTGGTTCTTTAAGGAATCTCCATACTGTTTTCCATGATGGTTGTACTAGTTTACATTCCCACCAGCAGTGTAAAAGTGTTCACTTTTCACCACATCCATGCTAACATCTATTATATTTTGATTTTTTAATTATGGCAATTGTTGCAGGAGCAAGGTGGTATCTCATTGTGGTTTTAATTTGCATTTCCTTGATAATTAGTGATGTTGAGCATTTTTCCATATGTTTGTTGGCTATTTGTATATCTTTTGAGAATTGTCTATTCATGCCCTTTGCCCACTTTTTGATGGGATTGTTTTTTATCTTGCTAATTTGTTTGAGTTCTTTGTAGATTCTGGATATTAGTCCTTTGTTGGATGCATAGTTTGCAAAGATTTTTCTCCCACTCTGTGGGTTGTCTGTTTACTCTGCTGATTATTTATTTTGCTGTGCAGGGGCTTTTTAGTTTAATTAGGCCCCATCTATTTTTGTTTTCCTTGCATTTGCTTTTGGGTTCTTCATCATGAATTCTTTGCCTAAGCCAACACCTAGGAGAGTTTTTCCAATGTTATCGTCTAGATTTTTTGTGGTTTCAGGTCTTAGATTTAAGTCTTTAATCTATCTTGAGTTGACTTTTGTATAAGGTGAGAGATGAAGATCTGGTTTCATTATTCTACATATGGCTTTACAATTATCCCAGCACCATTTATTGAATAGCATTTCCTTTCCCCACTTTATGCTTTTGTGTGCTTTGTCAAAAATCACTTGGCTCTAAGTATTTGGCTTTGTTTCTGGGTTTTCTATTTTGTTCCATTGGTCTATGTGCCTATTTTTATGCTAGCACCATGCTGTTTTGGTAACTATAGCCTTGTTGCATAATTTGAAGTTGGGTAATATGATACCTCCAGATTTGTTCTTTTTGTTTAGCATTGCTTCAGTTATGTGGGCTCTTTTTTTGGTTCCATATGAATTTTAGAATTGTTTTTTTCTAGTTATTTGAAGAATGATGATGGTATTTTAGTGGGAATTGCATTGACTCTGTAGACTGCTTTTAGCAGCATGATAATTTTCACAATATTGACTCTACCTATCCATGAGCATGGGATGTGTTTCTATTTGTTTGTGTCACCTGTGATTTTTTTTCATTAGTATTTTGTTTTCTTAGTAGAGATATTTTACCTCTTTGGTTAAGTACATTCCTAGGTATTTAATGAATTAATTAATTAATTTATTTTTACAGCTGTTGCAAAGGTGACTAAGTTCTTGATTTGATTCTCAGCTTGGTTGCTGTTGGTGGATAGCATTGCTACTGATTTGTGTATATTGATTT